AGTTATGTTTCAAGAAATGGTTATTCCCCTAAAAGAGAAAAGGTGGCATTACCGGTACTAAAAATCTGAAAAGAAAACAACTATTTCCTAAATCCCAGTTAGCAAGATGATGCAAGTCTAACTTAAGATATAAGGACTACTAAACACATTACACACAGCTGTACTTCAAACAGTAATGGCGGGGGAGGAGGACGAGGAAGGGTGGGAATTGGGTTTTGCTGAACACTCACCATGCACAAATATTTCACCCCCAGGCTCACAAGTCCAACAGTGAATGCCTACAAGTCAAATAAAAGTTTTCTCATGGACAAAACATGCCAGTGGGAGGCCAGTAGGAACCAAATAGTTTAGTAATAATAAAATTTGTGGGCTGAAATTGGGGTTGGGGGTATAAATGGATGGTTGGGAGTTTCTATTACAGTAATTCAAAATGAGGCAAGGTTTATCTTCCTAAACAATTCACTTTGCTAGGCCAAAACATCTCACAAGGTTATGTTTGATCATTTAAAGAGAAAACTGTAGTGATTTTGACATCTACCTTTCTAAGACCTGAGTGATCTCAACTTTCATTTCCTATCCTTGGTCAAACAGAAACAAAGGATTTGCTCTTAGAAAAAGGGAAAAGAAAATTTACTTTTGAAAGGATCTTGGAAATCACCTTAGTTTAAATGTTGTATTTTTAAAGGAAAAGAGGCCAATGCCCAGAGTTGATTTTCTTATGGTTGGTGGCAAGTTGGAACAAGAAACCATGGCAGCTTGGTTCTCTACAAGGGCAAGGCATGGGCTAAAGGAACGGAACAGATTTTAGGCAGATTTGAATGATGACAAGTTCTTAATCTTGGATGGCTTGAAGATGGTCCTTTAAACATGGGGTTAGATTTGCAAGTTACAGAGTAACAGAGTTACATAAATGGCACATAGCCCACTGAACAAATCCTAGGAGTGCAAACAACCATGCCTTCCAAAATCATGTTACTTCAGTTGCAATATATAAATATAATTTTATTGATTTCAAAGAGGAAGGGAGAGAGAGAGAAACATCAATGATGAGAGAGAATCACTGATTGGCTGCCTCCTGCACACTCCCCACTGGGGGGCGGCATGTGCCCTTGGCCAGAATCAAACTTGGGACCCTTTAGTCTGAAGGCCAACACTCTATCCACCGAGCTAAATGCCTACGGCAAGGTGATATTTAAACCCACTTCCTCAGTTCTGGGATGGATCCCAGGTTATCATATTTATCTTTTTCTAGTTTTAATTTCTTCAGGTAAACAAGGCCTAAGTCAAGGACCTTCTTTGAAAGTGGAAGGCAGTTCCCACATGAGAATATGATAACAGGAGGGTCTAAACTGTCGTTGAAAGTCATCTTGCAAAATCAGACTATGAATATAACAACATTGGAGAACACTTCAGAGAAATAAGAAAAAGTTCTGCCATTAGGACTTTTCGAGTCAGGTGCTCATTTAAGCCCATTTGAATTGGCTTAAAAATCAAATGCACAAAATCTCCTGCACAAAATCAACCTAATCAATTCAAAAGTATGAAGCACTGATGTGTCTAATATGGATAGCTATGTCATAACACTTTATCAGCAAGTCCTCCAGAAACCTACTTACTTCTTTCAGCCCAAGGTGCAGATTAGGTGTGGGTATAGCAGGATTAAAGTGTAAACTATTGTATTTCAGAAAGCCCTTTGAAGTCAACTTGTATACAACCAACCTCTCTCTCTCTCTCTCTCTCTCTCTCTCTCTCTCTCTCTCTCTCTCTCTCTCTCTCTCACACACACACCATATTCAGTAACTGACAAGTTAATGAATAAAAAGAATGAATAAAATATGGGCTAAAAGGAACGGAACAGATTTTAGGCAGATTTGAATGATGACAAGTTCTTAATCTTGGATGGCTTAAAGATGGTCCTTTAAACATGGGGTTAGATTTGCAAGTTACAGAGTAACAGAGTTACATAAATGGCACATAGCCCACTGAACAAATCCTAGGAGTGCAAGGATAGACAAAGGAGCAGGTAGGTATAATATAAGAGGAAGGGAGGGAGGGAGGGAAGGAGGGAGGGAAGGAGAGAGAGAGAGAGAGAGAGAGAGAGATGTGAATTTGAAAAAATCACTTGGCACTTCTAGGCCTTAGTTCTCATTTCTTAGAAGGAGGTAGGGATAACACTTTTAACAGGATGGCATAAGAATTATGTATTGATGCCGAAACCGGCTCAGTGGTAGAACATCAGTCTGCGGACTGAAAGGTCCCAGGTTCAATTCCGGTCAAGGGCATGTACCTTGTTGTGGGCACATCCCCAGCAGGAGGTGTTCAAGAGGCAGCTGGTCAATTTTTCTCTCTCATCGACGTTTCTAGCTCTCTATCTCTCTATCTTTCTCTCTGTAAAAAATCAATATATTTTAAAAAATAATTATGTATTGAAATCAACTATTTAAAGGAAAGTTCTCACATCAAAATTATCTGAAACTGAATGCATGTAAAGACTTAGTTATGGGTAACCAGAAGAGTTGGTAGGCAACAGAGGAGGAACTCAAAGTCAAAATAATTAAAAAATGTCTCGGGGGAGAGGAAGAATGTGGCAGAGTAGGGAAGAACTAAAATCATTACTCGAACTCTTTATTATCTACTTGGGCCTCAGAGTTACCCTAAAGGAAGGTTACCTGGTTTACCTTGACTTGTATAATTCAAGTGGGAAATAAGAAACCTAAGGATTGATATGCTCATCTATAGCAGCAAGCAGGCAACCAATAATTATACTGAGAGCAAACCAGGTGGTGGTGAAAAAAAAAAAAAATCCTGAAAGATTCTTGAAAATGTCAAACATCCAAAAATCAAGGTCTCTAATAAAAAAACAAAAACTCTATTCACCGCAGGGAATGAGATAACTTACCTCATTTCCAAAAGTGACTTCATAGCGATAATGAAATTAGTGTTCATAAAAAACCTAGTTTTGAATATTTTCCCAGTTATTTGAGATTCTCGGATGTGGTTGTTGGCCACATCCCTAAACCTCACTTCCCCCTTCCCCAAGGAATAAAAATAAGTGGAGAAGGTAACATTTGGCAGACCCACATTAGGCTCTTTCACTTGTAGTTATCTCTTGAAATCAACAATTCTGTATCATGACACCCCATTTAGAGACAGAGAAGGAAACTGAATTGGGGATGAGGACAGTCTGAAGTTATGAAGTGTTTTTTTCTTTTCTTAAAAATCTCACAATCAAATTTCTCAGCAAAGTCCTCTTTATTCCGTAAAATTAGTCATCTGTAACCATTTTCCCTTTTGCCTTCCGTTAGAAATGGAAAAGTAAAGGAAATGCAAGAGAAAACACCACAGAAAAATTCCTGGCAACGACACAGTTTATTATAACCTGGGGGTAGGAATCTCAAAGGGACACGAGTGGCATTTCTCTTTCATGTGTGGAGCTTTCCTGGAGAATCCGAGGCAGTGCAAAGCTGACCAAAATGAGTGATCCACCTCCCCACCTCCCACAGATGGAAAGTAAAAGTGTTTCTCCCCAGGCGTGGAGCGCAGAACTGGCCGCGTGCGTATCTGTTAGATTCTGCACCAAATGCTGCTTGTTGGCTGAGACGTTCGAGAAAAAAACAAGTGCAAACCAACAGGTTATCTACCGAGCGATTAGGGGAACAGTTACACAGCCTAACCAAGCAACACCAGCTCTTCCGTGCAACCCTATAAAGCACTTCCTGCCGCGGATCCCGCTATGAAAGAATTAAGGCTGCTTGGCTCCGCACCATTCTCCCGCCGGCTCCCCAGCCCAGCTCATGCGTCATGCACGGGATTCATCCATACGCACTCCCCACCCCAAAGTTGGCCAAACGCATTCTTTAAATTTGCAACCATGAAGCTGGAAGATAAGCTTACCGAGGACCGTGGGGAGGGGAAACCACCACCCCTAAAAGTGCAATAGCACAGAACGGATGCAGGATACAATTTGAAAGAACAACTCTTGCTCCAGGGATGACTCCCTTCCACCACCCCCAACCAAAGAGGGCGGGTGGGCAAGGGGGAGTCCGGGGAGCGAGAGGGGTGAGTCTTACTTACAATTCGCAATAGACGTTACCCAAGAGCTTCCCCCCACCACGGCCCAGAGCCACTCCCGGGCCGCGCGCCACCCTCTCCGCCGCCCGCTCCCGCCTCTCCAGCGGCCCAACTCCTTACAGGGCCGCCAGGTCCCTCTCGAGTCCCCGCCCCCCTCGCTTTCGCACCGGCCTCATCCCTCCGCGAACGATCTGGTTTTAATAAACACCCAAGTGGTCCGGGGCTAGCAGGCTTTTCCCTCCATGAGGGGGGTGGGGGCAGACGCAAGACAGGAGAGTCCCCGGCACTGGCGCTGCCGGCTCCGCGCGGGGCGAAGTCGGGCACGCCCTGGGACTCGGTGCCCATCAGACTGGCGATCCCCGATCCCTGAAGACTCTCCGCACTCACCCAGGTTTTGTCTTTCCCCCAAAGAAAGCTCTCCATTTCCGAAGGCGCCTCCCTGGACTTCCCTCCCTCCCTCTCTCCCTCCCTCCCGCGAGTTCATCCCCGACCGGGGCGGGCGGATCGGAGCGCACCAACCCATCCATCCATCCCGCCTCCGGGCTGGGCACAGCGTGTGTGTGCCCGCGGCGCCTCTAAGTGCACAAAACTGCCCGCCGGCTGCTTCCCCGCGCGGAGCAGGTGAGCCCGGGCCCCGGGGAACCCTCCGAGGCTCCCGCACACCCCTCGCCGCGCCCGCCGTCCGTCCTGGGGGGGCCGGGCTGGGGCCCCCCGGAGCCGGCCGGGCTGGCGGCCCCGGGCGCCTAAGTCCCCCCCGCCCCCGACCTTTCCACGGGCGGAGCGCGGGCCGCGCCGGCAGCTGTCCCTCCGCCCCCGGTTCGGGACCTAACGGCGGCTCGCAGCCCTCTCGTCCCGGCCGCCGCCAGCTCGCGCGGGTGTCATGGCCGAGAGGCGGCCCCGGGCGAAGTTTCCCGGAGCGGCCGGCTTACCTCTGCGCTCCAGGCGCCACGGCAGCTCGGAGAAGCGGCGGGGAGGCGGCGGCGGGAGCGCCCGTGGCAGCCCGAAGCCGGGGACGATGTGGGAGGGAGGCTCCGCTCGCCCGGACCGCGGCGATGGGAAGAGGAAGGCGCCGGGTATCTACAATCGGAGCGTGGGCTGACCGTGACGTCACAATGGCGCGGCCAGCCAATCGGGGCCCCGAGGCGGAATCAAGCGCTATGATGTCATGCGGCCCCGGAGCCAATCGCGAGACAATAGAACTTTCGTGATTGTAAATTCCAGACTGTGCAGCGCCGCGGGGGAGCCGGGGGCCGGGTCGGTCCCTTCTGGTTCACGTGTCTCGAGGCGATTTTTTATCCCTTTTCTTCCTCATAAGCCTGCGTGGGACGCAGAGCCTGCGCAATAGCGGCTGTGAGGTTCTGGATGCCCTGAACTCTTGATGCGCACTCCATGCCAGGCGTGGCATGGTTGGGTGGTCGCGTTCGGACCACAGAAACCCCCCCTCTCGCAGCCATCCCTTGTACCGGTTCTGAAAGGGGATCTGGTTCTCCTTGGTTGTAGCTGAAAGAGTTACATGCCCGCTGAGACCACCGCAAGTCAGGTCTGCAGTTGAGCAAGATAAGGCAATAACCAAAACCACTCAGAACTGGGTGTTTATAGCTTCACTCCCTTGTGGATAGATGTACCCTGATTTTTTCCCCCTCATGGATTCTGATGCAATTTCTACATCACAAATTACCCCCAAAGATTTGTAAAAGGAAGAACCGTGATGGAGTAAGTGACATCTTTCCAGCTATGGAAATTGAAGCACTTAAAACAAAATGCTCTGTGCTCAGGGCACAAACAGAAGATCCTTGCTGTTTTTCACTGATATTTGGAAAATTGGAGGTTTTTTATTATCCTAGTAGTATCCCACACTTTTGCCATATTAAGTCCCAGAAATAAGTCTTTCTCCTTGTGCCCTTTTGCTATATTTCTGCTTCCCCATGTCCTTGGATCCAACTTAGTTAAGCATTTAATGTAGACAGTTGTTTTGGTTTTTTTACATCTGCAATGTAATGATTATTGTGTGCCAGCTGTGTTTCAGACACTGGGCCTTTGCAGTAGGAAAGCAGGTGTACAGACTATATACAAATCAGATCATTTAAACATACACAAATGAGGTTTTTAGCACGCAATTGCCATTTGACTCCACAAACACCGAGTGACTTTAGTTTGTTAGATACTATGCTAGGTGTTAGAAATAAAAAAAATCTCAAGGACCGCTCCCCCTCTACCCCCCCCCCCCCTGTAAATTGATATGGTCAGGAAAAAACTACTGTGCAGAGTGGTAAATACTACAGTGGAAGCCAAGGTACACACAGAATTTTTTGCCAATAGCCCAAGGCCAGGGCTCTGTGTTGCCCTTCCAAATTCTATCTGTCCAGGTTTTAAATTTTTCAAATTTAACTTGATATTGCAAAAATCTCAAGTTTTTTGTGACACTCAATTGTTTTTATTGTGCTCATCCATCCAAAAGTTTAAGCCACTACAACCAAAATATCTATATTTCGAATTATGGACTTACCTCCGTGATTTTCAGCCAATGTGTTCCAATAAATTTTAAAAATATATATTTTATTGATTTTTTTACAGAGAGGAAGAGAGAGGGAGAGTTAGAAACATCGATGAGAGAAAGTCATCGATCAGCTGTCTCTTACACACCCCTTACCGGGGATATGCCTGCAACCAAGGTACATGCCCTTGACTGGAATCGAACCTGGGACCTTTCAGTCCATAGGCCTACGCTCTATCCACTGAGCCAAACCGGTTTCGGCACAATAATTTTTTTTAACATGCATACCTGACTATTTAGTTAGGGGCACTGACCTCATTTCCCTTAAACTGTCAAATAAATTAATGACAACAGGCAACACAATAACAGCCAGGGTGTGAATGCCGTGTCTTGAACCATAAATATATAGGTCATATAATAGAGTTGCATCTTATTGGTCACATTGCATAATAAAGATGTGTCTGATTAGTTAATTATTGGTACCAGAAATCTTTATGTACAAGAATAGTCACCTGATATTTTTAAAAATTACTGTGGAGACGGGAAACAAAAAATCAATAAAATATTTTTTTTTAAAATGGGCAATGGACCTAAATAGATACTTTTTGAAAGAAAACATACAGAATGCTAAGAGACATATGAAAACATGCTCAAAATCACTAATCATCCAAGAGATGCAAATCAAAATGACAATGAGTTACCATCTCACACCTGTCAGGATGGCTATCAACAAATAAAAAAATGACAAGTGCTGGAGAGAATTCGGAGAAAAAGGAACCCTTGTGCACTGCTTGTGGGAATGCAGACTTGTGCAGTCACTGTGGAGAATAATATGGAGTTTCCTCAAAAAACTAAAATTGGAACTTCCATTTGACCCAATGATCCCACTTTTAGGAATATATCCCAAGAAACTAGAAACACCAATCAGAAAGGATATATGCACCTTTTAGGAATATATCCCACTTTTAGGAATATATCCCAAGAAACTAGAAACACCAATCAGAAAGGATATAGCAGCATAATTCACCATAGTTAAGATTTGGAAACAGTCTAAATGCCCATCAGCAGATGAGTGGATTAGAAAACTGTGGTACAATGGAATATTAAGCTGCTGTAAAAAAGAAGGAACGTCTACCATTTGCAACAGCATGGGTGATCCTGGAGAGCATTTTGCTAAGCAAAATAAGTAAGTCAGAGAAAGATAAATATCACATGATCTCACCCATTTTTGGAATATAATGAACATAAACTGATTAACAGAAACAGATCCAGAGACAGAGAAGCATTGATCAGATGCTCAAACCTCAGAGGGAAGGTAGGGGAGGGTGGGAGTAAGGGGGAGAGATCAACCAAAGGATTTGTATGCATGCATATAAGCATAACCAATGGACACAGACACTAGGGGGGTGAGGGCATAAGTGGGGGAAGAGGACCATGGGGGATAAGGAAACATATGTAATACCTTAATCAATCAATCAATCAATCAAAATTAAAAAATAAAAATCAATGGAAAAATATCCTGGCTGAGGATTAAGATAGAATAAATAAATAAGTAAATAAATGTGGAACAGTTTAACACTCTAAAAAAAAGTTAATGTGAATCAAAAAGAGTAGGTAATTACTATTAATTTTTTTGGTAAATTAATAAAAATTATACCTATTTTTGTCAGATGTGCAAAAAATATATTGTTTGTTATGCCACAGAACTTTAGTAATTAGTTAATATGTGCCATAAGATGAAAAAGGTTGAAAAATCACTGGCTTATATAACTGTCAAGTCATACATTAAATTTTAAATATTTTTCTTATTTTAAAATAAAAGTAAATATAAAGTTCTAATATTTTATTCCTGTCCCCCAAGGGATACATTTTGACATATCCCGTGATATATAACTCTTAGTTGATCTGTGTATTTTGGTTTCCATTATAGCATTTTCCACTCAACACTGTAGTTGTTTCCTGCACTGTACCTCTTGTTCAATCAATGGAGTGCATATACCCCCACTTCAAAGACCACTGCTTTAGATTGTAAAGCATTGGAGGGGAATATGTTATATTTTGCTAGTTATTTATCTGTAGATCTTAGTACAGTCCCTGGTTTATAATAAGAGCTTAGTAAATATGTTTTGAATAAGTACACTCTTACTTCCCCTCCCCATTACCATCATCATTCTGGTGCTTCCATTTTCTGCTCCAGAATTCCAACCCTCTCATGATAATCATGTCCCAGGACTATTGACTCCTCTCAAACCTAAATTAGTAAGATCATGTTCTCATTCTCCCCCCCCAAAAAGACATAGGGTTCCCAATACATATATGTTAGGAGGAGTCACCGCTCCCCAACTCATCTTATACCCAACAGTGTAAACTAGTTATCGTGACCACTGGATGAATTGCTCCTTATTGTAGCACCATTACGTTCATGATAAAGCTGCAAGAGAAGCAGTAGAACTGAAATGACTCCTCAACTTCCATCGTAATAAATTAAAAAAATGCCTAGGACTTATTGCCTAGGACTCAAGACCAATGCTCAAGGAAAGTTTTTTAGTTGGCATCAGAATTAAATTCTTAGCCTTTTGGGGTCTAGACACTGTGCTGGAGTCATCTTAGTTCTTATAAGCACTCTATTGAAAATAAACCAAGTTAGGGTGCAGTAACAAAACCCTGTAACTCTTATCCATTTCTTTATAGCACCCATATGGTAGAGACCCCCTAGAAGTGATTATTGAATCATCTTCATTTTCTTCCTACTGCTGTTTCTCCTCCTGCTGTCCTTTATTTAAACTCTGGTAGCATTTTTCCTTATGCTCTTAGTTTTCATCAGTGGTCCCAAATCTCCTCCCACCACATACTTCAAAGTATATTAGAAGGTTGCTTCACTGTCACTCTTGGGAAAGAAAGTATTTAACATCCTGGGAAATTTATTCTACTGCTATTGCATCTGTCGGTGGATGAAGAAATACAATTGAAAGTTTCATTGGAATGTAATCTAATTAGTGACTATTGTATGTGCTTAAGAAGTATTTGCATGACATGATGAAATCTATCTCTTGTGATAAGATATATGCTTGTGTTGACTGACAGATCTCAGAGGGAAGAGTGGACAAGAAGAGATTAACTAAAGAACTTACATGGATACGTGCATAGCCCATGGACACAGATAATAGTGTTGTGAAGGCCTGGGGTGTGGCAGGAGGTAGGTGGAGGGGGACAAACTGGAGAGGTATGAGGGACATCTTTAATACTGTCAATAAAAAATAAATTTAGAAAAAAATTTTAAACTGAAAATAAAGAAGATATAGGCCTGTGTTTACCTCTGGACATTTGAAAATTGACTAACATATAAAGGATAAACTAGTGAATATTTTTGTTTGTTGGTTTAATCCTCACCTGAGGACATACCGGTACTTAGAGAGAGGGAGGGAGAGAGAGAAACATTGATCCTTCCTAGGATCAAACCTACAACCCAGGCATGTGTCCTGACTGGAACCAAACTGCAACTGTTCAGTGTATCTCCATCTGAGCTACTCCAGCTGAGCAAGTACAATCTAGCTTATGCTAAGAATGCTACTATTGATTTCTTTTTCC